AAAGTTGTCCAAATGTTTTAATTTGTGTGATTTTGACACGACCCCTACCTGATTCGCATCACCCTCAGAATGTTTGAGTTCCAGAACATTTGTCAGTACCCTTGCTGATACTCCAAAAGCTTTTGCTGCCCGCTTACGGAATTTATTAATGACATGAAATGGTTTGCCCCTTTCTGCTTCAGCACGGAAAAAATCGTACACTTTAATCGTCAACTGTTTCACGTCAGCATTCAACTTCATTTTTCATCAGGCATGTGTATCCCCTGCACGACGAGATAGTGGCTGTTCCGTTTCTGCGGTTTCACCCCGCCGCGACAGATAACAACTTTTGCGTTTTCAATGATGATAGTTTCTTAAACAACTTTTTTGGTGGAGTCCGGACAATTTTCAAATATAAGAAAGCTGTTGGGTATTAGTCAATGATGAACATGTGTACTATTTATATTTATGTGGCAATTTTGTTCAATGATAAATTTTGCAATTCATCGGTCCGTTTCTGACTCAAACGGACTGTAGGCTGTTGTGTTTGGGCGTTTGAATCAAACGCGGTGCTGGTGTGTTTCAACAACCTTGTTTTTCTCTGTTTTTGACAATTTGTCATTTCACTCAAACTCAACGAACATTGAATCAGTTGCTTCACTGCATGTTCCAACATGTCGTTTAAAGTGCCAATTAAGTACACAAAAAGTTGTATTTTCCTATATAAATGACCTCACCAAGGTACAGTTTATATATGACTCAAATTTTAGAGTGTTCCCATACTTTTTGTTTGTAGCATACTTATATGGTTAATTACTGTGAGGGAGAGATGGAGTGAAGACAACAGTTACCATTGACGTTCTACTGGTTTCTACTACAGTCATGTATAATTAAGGTTAACAAAACCCTTGGTAAATTGAAGCAAAGCATAAATGAACCAGGATTGACCTGGATCCCAATGGTTCAAAACATTTTCCCTCACATTCTGCTTTACAGGAACGGCCTGGAACACTACCTGATATCAGTGGCATATTTATCATCAGCCTCTTACATGCGAATGAAAATAAAACCATATAAGTCGTTGAAGGTTGAAGGTGAGGTGAGGTGAGGTGAGGTGAGGTGAGGTGAGGTGAAATTGGGTTTAACGTCGTGTTTGAGAATATTTCGCTCATATGACGACGTGCATGTGTGTGTATGTGTATGTGCGGCTGCTTGTACTAGCCCAGACTTAAGCCGGTTTTATAGTGCTAGCCCACTGAGATACCATGCCGCAGTGAAGCATGAATATCCCACTCAGACACATTATACTGACTCCGAGCCGACCAGTCCTTGTTGTACCCATTAATGCCGAGCGCCAGGCAGGGACCAACAAGTACCATATTTAACGTCATTTGGTATGACGCGGCCGGGGATCGAACCCGCGACCTTCCGCTCTCCGGGCGGACGCTCTAACCACTACACCACGGAGGCGGTCTGAAGGTTGAAGACGTTGTCGGCTTTTCAAAGGAACTAATCTGAGGGCAACAGCAAACTGCGGATGCCACAACCATTACCAGGATGTGATGCTCGGATGCAGGCGGAGAATATGTTGACTTTGTATGCTGAGCAATGTTATCGTTTGTATTTGCCTTCCTCTGTAAAACCTGGTTCAGGCCATGGATAACACTGGGCTTTTATGAACGAGCTATCACCTTAGCTATGAATACAGTTTAGTTTTAAAGATTTACATTAGCTATGACTCTGTAAGTATGATAAATGAATTTGGAGTGAGTGAGTGAGTTTAGTTTTACGCCGCACTCAGAGCAATATCCCAGTCTAAGTAAATTTAGGCTCAGTATTATTCGTTACACTGCTATACCGAGTCTAACAAAACCTAGTAGAAGATCGCGTCAGCTAACCTTTTGGACTGACAAATCAGAACACAGCTTACCAAATCGCGAAAGTTAACATTCGCACATACCGTTTGAACCTTTACCTAAAAAAACTCGAACGATTCCGAATGCTATTTTCCGCACGATCGCTTCCGAGTGATACACGCAATGAGTAAACGGTCGCTGAAAATAGCGTTTTTGTCAATATTCAAGGATGTCATCTTGCGAAAATATAAGCAAATAGTAACAATGTCATTAGAAACCCATAAGCGTCTATACTGCAGGTCCAATATCTGTGTTTTAGGCGGATTTTCGTTTGTTGATAGATCAATGTCAGCGACCAGGGAAGAGAACATCTAAAAACCGTTTTGTAAGTCCCGCCGAACCCTAACAAGTAGTAGTTGTCTGATTGGTTATATCCGTTCGGCTGTCTCGCGTTTGATTGGACGGTCATAGGTCGCTCAAAGGTTAGCTGACGCGACCTTCTACTAGGTTTCGTTAGACTCAGTAAAGCAGTGTAACAAATACTACTAAGCCTAAGTTTACTTAGACTGAGCAATATCCAAGCATCCAAGCTATATGATGGCGGTCTGTAAATAATCGAGTCTGGACCAGACAATCCAGTGATCAACATCATGAGCATCGGTCTACGCAATTGGGATACGATGATATGTGTCAACCAAGTCAGCGAGCCTGACCACACAATCCTTTTAGTCGCCTCTTACAAGGATTGGCTTACTGAAGATCAATTCTAACCTCGGTGTTTGCCGAAGGTGTTGTCACCTGTATCTCTGACAATTCTTTGCACTATAATGAAATGTGTTGTTTCAATCATTTGATATGCAGAGGTGTAGAGGTCACACATTTTCGACAATATTTTGGCCTCTACATGCATTGTATATATTGGGGGCATATGCACTCACTTTAGCTTCCTATTGATGCAGTAAAATACATATTATCCCTTACGACTTGTCTGAAATCGATAGTTGAAACTTCGAGGCGAACAGCTTAAAACAGAGAACACTTGCCATATATAGCTGTAAACAATTGCTCCGTACATTGGAAACTGTCGCACGCGGTGATGTCGGTGTTTGCCGAAATGGTTTCAATCAGAAGTTGTGCGTTGGATATTCGTGAAGAGCGCTTCAAGGGACATAACTCTATAGGCTTCGCTCGAAATAATGTTCGACCGACAGATGGCGCGAGAGTCCATTTAATGCAACGTTGCATTAATTCATTCGAACTTTCTAATTTAATATTGTAATCTAAATACGTATTTTGGGGGGTTGAATAAATTATATGGTAGCTTCCCTGAGGGCTGATGGTATGACGGAGAGAAATGCATTATGAACTTTTACAGAAATGTGGTGTGACATTGTGCCTTATAACAGGTGGTGTTGTGACACTGGCTTGGTGACTGTAAGCAATCAATGGTGACTGTTACGTTTGGTTCTGTATTTTGATCGGAGTGAGTGAGTGAGTGCATCTGGTTTTGCGCTGCTTTTGGCAATATTCCAGAAATATCACGGCAGGGACACCAGAAAAGAGCTTCACACATTGTACCCACGTGTGGAATCGAACCCGAGTGATCGGCATGATGACACTTTAACCACTAGCCTAACCCACAGCCCCGGTCTCAGTCACAATAATATTGGCCAAACCAGTTGATGATAGCATGAAGAGTGAGTGAGTGAGTTTACTTTTACGCCCCTCCCAGCAATATTCCAGCTATATGGCGGCAGTCTGTAAATAATCGAGTCTGAACCAAACAATCCAGTGATCAACATCATTAGCATCGATCTGCGCAATTGGGAACCGATGACATGTGTCAACCAAGTCAGCAAGCCTGACCACCCGATCCCGTTAGTCGCTTCTTAAGACAAGGATGGGTTACTGAAGATCAATATTCTAACCCGGACCTTCACAAGTCGATAGCATGAAAACTCTATCTCAGCTATAACAAATAAGGCCCACAACTGTTTCCTTATACATCAACAGTCTTGTCAAGTAGTATTTTTCAAAGTTAATTTCATCCTGTAATTCACCATGTCCAACCATAAGTTTTGCTTTTTGGATGAACCCGTGAAGATCCGGGTTAGAATTGGTCTTCAGTAACCAATGGTTGTGACTGTTTGATCGGCATTCTAGCTTGTAGTAAAAGGCGACTAAGGGCATCAGGTGGTCAGGTTCGCTGACTTGGTTGACACATGTCATAGTATCCCAATAGCGTAGATCGATGCTCACGCTGTTGTTTACAGGATTGTCTGGTCCAGACTCGATTATTTACAGACCGTCGCCAAATAGCTGGAATATTGCTGAGTGCATTGTTAAACAACAAACCAACAAACTAGCTTATTGGATGAACAAAAAGCGTGACAGTATTAAAACATTATCTTACACTCAATGCATCCATAGGGCGCATCCTCAACACGTGGTGCTCTCCAATATACCCTATAGGGTGAGGCCTGCTTGTAAATATGCAATTCTAGACCAGAAAGTCAATGACATAAGTTTTTATTTACATTGTGGTCATGGTAATATACAGATGAGACGTATGGAACATGTTTTCTGTCATCAGTACAACAGCAATGTTGAATTCAGGAACATATTGTACAACATTTCAGTGACAAAGTTCAGGAACATGAATTGAAAATTAATACGTTTGTAATGAAAGGAGGTTTCTCGGAGATTTTAATTTTGGTAGTGAAAGAATGTTCCTCATGAGATTTTTACAATGGTAATGAAGGTAGTTTCCCCGAGATTTTTACTTGGAACATTTGTTTTAAAAAAATAACTAATTGATAGTGAATTATTCATATCACTGACAGCTTCAGGTTGCAGTTTTACCACATCAGCAGATATTGAAGAATTGCTGACATCAAAATATCAGTGGTTTGGAACAATCTGTATTGAAGGGCTGCAGTCGCTGTGATGCTTTCAAGAAGGTCCAGGGACGAAGGATGATGAACTTGTTAGTGTGGACTGACGAGACGTGACTTCCTCCACCTCACTTCTCCAGAGGAGCATAGTTCAACAACTTCTCGATCAGGTCAACGTGAGCGAGGAGCATTCTGCGACAGCAGTACCGCTTCAACCCCAGGGCATCCAGGGCATCTCTGAAACATTACAACAAAATGTTTATGGCATTACCGCTCAACCCCAGGGCATCCAGGGCATCTCTGAAACATTACAACAAAATGTTTATTGCATTACCGCTCAACCCCAGGGCATCCCTGAAACATTACAACTCAATGTTTATTGCATAACCACTCTTCAAAAGGAAATCCCTAAATACAAGTGAGTGAGTATGGTTTACGTTGCTTTTAACAATATTCCAGAAATATCAAAGTGGGGAACACCTGAAACAGGCTTCATAGTTGTACCCATGTGGGTCCCTGCTTACCAAACGTTTAACCTTCTTAGATTTTATGACATTAATGCCATGACAAGAAGCCTGTGGATGTTTTCTCAAGCTTGACCAAATTTCAGATTTGACCAGCCCCAAACTAGTGTAGGTTTGACTCTATCACTCACATTACGCTTTTTAAGGTTGTTTTTAAGGTCATGCTGTTTTAATGTGGGAATATTAAGTCTATTTGATGACAATCTGTCAAACATTCAGGACCCATGAAAACCTTCAGCAACCCATGTTTGTCATCAGAGGTGACTAATTGGATCAGGTACACACGTTATCATATCATACTTGCTGGAATATTGCTGAGTGTGGTGTTAAAGAAACAAACGAACAATAAAAATCTCGAACCAGACAATCTAGTGATTTTCATCATGCGAATTCACATGCCCAGTTGGGACATGATGACAATGACATTCATCAGCCAAGCCACCAAGTCTGACCACCTACTCCATGAGTCCCCTCTGACAAGCAGGGGTGGTGGGGTAGCCTAGTGGTTAAAGCATTCACCCACCACGCTGAAGACCTCAGTTCAATTCCCACATGGGTAAAATGTGTGAAACCCATTTCTGGTGTTACCTGTTGTGATATTGCTGGAATATTGCTAAAAGCGGCGTAAAACCATACTCACTCAGTCCTATGACAAGCAAATATCAATTTGAACCCTGTTTATTTAGGTGGTGAAATACTTGTCCAGTGCAGCTTAAAATAGTATTTCAGATATACAGCCTGTTAGTAGAAATTTGAGGAGAAACCATTGAAAGATGAAGGGCTCAGTTTGCAACATTTGTTATGCTAACTCTTTCTTCAACATGTTATAATATTCTGGGTGACCAAGCATGCTAAATCCAGCCAAAAGATTTCAAAGGGGAATAACTCTGCAGACCACAATGTCAACTGCTCCACAATGGGGAATACAGCCACTCTAGATTATAGGCCTGCTCTTTCATGTGCATGAATTCTAATTGACATTCAAAAGACTGTAGCACATTAATTGTTGAAAATGGTGATTATGTCACACATGTAATAATGTAAAACAATAGTGACACATTATTGCACATGTAGTCACCAGTTTAAAATATCAATGTCAGCCATCTAAGAAACAATGGCTTGGTTTGGTTTGGTTGTTGTTTCACACCACATTCAGCAATATTCCAGCTATATGTCGGCGGTCTGGAAATAATCAAGTCTGGACCAAACAATCCAGTGATCAAGAGAATGAGCATCAATCTACACAATTGGGATACGATGACATGTATCAACCCAGTCAGTGAGCCTGACCCCCAATCTTATTACCGGTAGTTGCATTTTACGACAAGCATGAGTTGTTGAAGCACAGTTCTTCACAGGTCTAAGAAACAATGGTGTCAGTATAGATAATAAAACATTTACACCAGGTTTCGAACGTAAAATGTGGTTTTCTTGACAGCAGTTTTCAGCCATGATCTGTTTAGTTACTTGGAATAAATTAAAAGCAGGGTTTTATGCGATGCACAAATATGCATCCAGAACACACAAATGTAGAGAACGCAGAAATGGAGAGACGCACAAAAATTCCGAAAGCATACCTACAGCAAATCAAGGGTAGTTATCTGTGTCTATTTCACCCATCAGTCATGGCAAGTGTCCACATGAGAACTGATTCATTCCAAGCTCTTAAGTAAAGTTCAACACCCTACATACCCAACATAGAGCTACAGATAACTTTTTGGGTCAATGAGTTATGTACTCGCTTGTGTTCATCTCAATTGGGTATCCTAATTTTCCTTTGAGTAACCAAATCAATTGTACCCACCTCACTCAAACTCAATTGGGTATTTTTCCATTTTTCATTAATTGTATAAATATAATAAAGTTTAAATGTTGGTTTACGTGTTTGTTATTTATATTTGATCTGTATTATGAAAAACAATAAGAAAGACTGCAAGTTGCTAAGATCATGTGCGGAAATAGGACCTCTCAACATACCATAGTTATTTGATCTGTCCTCGGTAATCTTTATCACATTTTTTAGTGTACGCATGTAAGATCAAATGTATTGAGTATTTACAAAAGTTCAAGCGTACTTGTAGGCAACAGACTTAATAGGAGTTTTCATATAAATATTTGTGTAATTTACGCAGCTTATCTGTCCCTCTGCCTACACCATTTCAATACTTTACAGGACCCTCATATTACGGACCACCATCATATAGCTGAAATATCATGCACTCATTACTCATACTACCTGCAAGGACCCATAAATTGTACTGATGAGGGTCCCCTAAACATCCACTTTTGTAGACTGACTGACTGACTGACTGAGTTTGGTTTTACGCCGCTTTTAGCAATATTCCAGCAACATCACGGCGGGGAACACCAGAAATGGGCTTCACACTTTGTACCCTTGTGGGGATTCGAACCCGGGTCCTCGGTGTGACGAGCCAAAGCTTTAACCACTAGGCTATCCCACCGCCCCCACTTTTGTAGAAGTAAAACCCTGAATTTATGTGTTTGCAGGCTGAAAATAGAGAGTGAGTGAGTTTAGTTCTACGCCGCCTTTAGCAATATTGCAGCAATATCACGGCAAAGAACACCAGAAATGAGCTTCACACATTGTACCCAAGTGAGGAATAGAACCCGGACCTTCAGCATGACAAGCAAACACTTTAACCAATAGGCTACCCAACCACACCCTGAAAAAATAGAACCTACCCTTCAGTGTATTCCACCTGCAACAACCCAATATAGGCCTCCCACTTGTTGCCAATCACTTTCCCACACGTGAAACAGCGGATGGGAATAATCATTGTGATCTGAAAAGATAAATTGGATGTTGTATGTAACCATCTACATATTATTACAACCATAACAAAAACAAGTGTTCATGTAATATCATTATCAGAGGCCCAGATAAGCTGCGTATCCGGGTAAAATATGCATAGAAAATTTTCAATTATGCATTGAAAAATAATTGTTGCGTACCAATTATGCATTTAAATTGTTAGATACGCAAAAAGTTTAAAACAAATGTGTACGGAATATATTTATAAAAATCGCTTGCGTAATGAAAAAGACATCGATTGCTATCAAGTTGTACTGTTACTATAGGACAAGTGTTGTACTGTCAGTATAGGATGAGTGATTTTTTATGAAATCATTTCCATTATATTTCAGTTGGTTTTGATTAGGTATGACATAAGGCAGAACATACCTGCTTAGTAAACTTACTCAGTCACATAATACTAAGGTGAGTAAAATGACTGAAATACGCACATATTTGAAAGCAGTGGGTAACGGAAAATGAAATACCCACTCAACATTCATAATACCCACTCCCAAAAAATACAGTGGGTACAGTACCCACATTAGCTAAATCTTATCTGGAGCTCTGCATTATAACTATAATATTCATAAAATGAATAAATGTTCATGTGATATCATTCCAATTTCCAGTCATGTGGATTCTGAAAAGTGTTACTACAGATCACAAACATCAAGCAGTACCCTGTATATGTTAGATTAGGGACCGTTCATAATTTATGGCTAGGGGGGTGATGATGATTTTAAGGGGGGTCACCCATTTTGTTCTGGGGAGCTAAAGGGGTCAGCAATTTTGTACACACATACTGGGGGTGGGGTGTGTGTCAGCAATTTTGTATATAAAAATGTTTAAAATTATGCTTAGAAATTAAGGGAAGGGAGGGGGTCATTGATTTTGTACATGACATGCAAGGGGGCACTTATTTTGTACATAAATTTTAGGAGGGGTCATTCACATTGTACATGCTTCTCCATAAAAATCATCACAATCCCCTTAGCCATAAATTATGAACGGTCCCTTACAAACATTGCGTTGTACCTAGGGCTTCCACGGGTACTCGAGTACGGGTCGGGTTTAGCTGGACTCGAGTCCGTTTTCTAGGACTCGAGGACTCGAAAAGGGCAGACAAGTCGAATTATTGGGTAACGCTGACAGACTGTCTGTCAGCCATATGCTAAGCATGAGCGGCCGTTAAAGTCTAATATTATAATAAGATATAAATTTATTATCCCGGAGGAAATTCTTATACATTCAAACTGTCTCAAAACGAATATATACACAATTCACAAAAATATACACAATAATTACATGCACAAAATGAATGCTATTTGCACAATAAAACTGACATGATATAATTCAATTAACCACATAGGTAAAGACTCGAAAGAGGTTGAATAATTCTAGTTGTAATCATATGATGATGATTCAAAATATTTGTTGCATTCACGAATACTTGATGGTATGAAAGACCGTCGAACTCTGTTTGTTTTGAGGGAAGGTAATCGACAGCAGCGTTTAGAAGGAAGTAGCTCAAAATGGTGAGATAAACTATGTTAACTATCAAATCTAATTTTAGTTGCCTTTTTGACAGTCTGGCGCTCATAGATAAGGGAATATGCTCGAAAGACACTCCAGCAATTTTGCAAGCAGTATTAACAATTTTGAAAAGTTTGTTTTTGTTGCAATCAGGCATACCCCCATACCAACATAAAAAATTGTAGGTGAACAAACTTTGAATAAAGGTTTGATAAAAAACCTTTACGGTTTTGTCAATGCCTTGACGATAATAATGTTCAGAATCAGAAATTAGGCCAGTAACAGTGGCGTCATCTGCGAATTTCACAGTTAAAACAAGTCATTTATTGACAAGTAACAGTCAATGGTATACAAAACGAAGAGTACGGATGAAGTTACACAGCCATGTGGAGCTGCAGTAGAGGTTGAGAGAAAAGAAGATTAATAGCCATTCACACTGACATACTGAGTTCTATGTACCCTGAATTCTTTAACCCATATGATAATGTTTTCATTAACACCTAGATTAAATAGTTTACTCCTCATAAGGTGTGATTGTGTGGTATTAGTTGTTACAAGTCTGCAGATGAGAGTAAATATTATGCATCGTTTGAGATTTCACTTCTTAAAATGATTAGGTAACTAATACTAACTATCATGACAATTGATAGACATGGAGAAAGATAAAAAAAAATGTATGGGCATATCTTGATCTGGATAGTGGAAAGAGCAAAATAACCCAATGCCGCCTGTGCGGTATATCACTGCGCTATGCAAGCAGTACAACCAGCTAGTTAGGTGAAAAAAAATATTTGTCAAGAAAACATCCAAATACTGATTCTGACCAATAGGAAATGTTAGTCACACGACGATATGAAATCGGAATGAAGTAAATGTTCACTTGTGTGATCGGAACACATGTCATGCAAGTTATGCTACCGTTTGCTTAAAAGGTATGAATTTCGAGTACTCGGGTCCGAGTCAAGTCTCACCCCTCGAGTACTCGAGTCCAAGAAAATGGACTCGTTGAAGCCCTAGTTGTACCTTCAAGTAGTTTCATTCGCCCAGGGCGGATTATTTTCAACACAGACTGCCAGATTCTCAAATTCAACTGCCCGACAGTCGGGTTAACATTTAGAGATGTACATGAAGATATTCAACATATTTCAGGATAAAAAAACATGAAGTGATAACATGAATTCAAGCATTAAACACTAATCTGAAATAAACAGTTAATTCTTTTCTTGCATTGGTATTATTTTTTTCAGGCCTCTGATCCATCTAAAAATAATTCTGTATTAGTATTTTTTGTGGGCAGGTACATTTTGGTCAGGGCTGGCAAGTTTTACATCTAACCAGCCCTGAAATCTGGCAGAAATTTTTGGGAGTTTCATACCCTGCCTTTCATATGGGCACAATACAATTCGAAATAATTAAGTCCAATAGTCCTGGCCTTGAATACTTCAGGAAGTACTCAGGAAATTTCCTTGTGGCCTAACCCTTTTCATTCTGGTGGTTTATTGTTTAACACCACACTCAGCAATATTCCAGCCATAAGGCGCTTAGTTTAATGCAGCACTCTGCAATATTCCAGCCAAAAGGCATTTAGTTTAATGCAGCACTCTGCAATATTCGAGCTATAAGGCGCTTAGTTTAACACCACACTCAGCAATATTCCAGCCATAAGGCACTTAGTTTAATGCAGCACTCTACAATATTCCAGCCAAAAGGCACTTAGTTTAATGCAGCACTCTGCAATATTCCAGCCAAAAGGCACTTAGTTTAATGCAGCACTCTACAATATTCCAGCTATAAGGCTCTTAGTTTAACACCACACTCTGCAATATTCCAGCCAAAAGGCATTTAGTTTAATGCAGCACTCTGCAATATTCCAGCCATCAGGCACTTAGTTTAATGCAGCACTCTGCAATATTCCAGCCATCGGCACTTAGTTTAATGCAGCACTCTACAATATTCCAGCTATAAGGCTCTTAGTTTAACACCACACTCTGCAATATTCCAGCCAAAAGGCATTTAGTTTAATGCAGCACTCTGCAATATTCCAGCCATCAGGCACTTAGTTTAATGCAGCACTCTACAATATTCCAGCTATAAGGCTCTTAGTTTAATGCAGCCCTCTGCAATATTCCAGCCATAAGGCACTTAGTTTAATGCAGCACTCTACAATATTCCAGCCAAAAGGCATTTAGTTTAATGCAGCACTCTACAATATTCCAGCCAAAAGGCATTTAGTTTAATGCAGCACTCTACAATATTCCAGCTATAAGGCGCTTAGTTTAACACCACACTCTGCAATATTCCAGCCAAAAGGCATTTAGTTTAATGCAGCACTCTGCAATATTCCAGCCATAAGGCACTTAGTTTAATGCAGCACTCTACAATATTCCAGCCAAAAGGCATTTAGTTTAATGCAGCACTCTGCAATATTCCAGCCATCAGGCACTTAGTTTAATGCAGCACTCTACAATATTCCAGCTATAAAACAGTTTAACACCACACTCTGCAATATTCCAGCCAAAAGGCATTTAGTTTAATGCAGCACTCTGCAATATTCCAGCCATAAGGCACTTAGTTTAATGCAGCACTCTACAATATTCCAGCCAAAAGGCACTTAGTTTAATGCAGCACTCTGCAATATTCCATCCATCAGGCACTTAGTTTAATGCAGCACTCTACAATATTCCAGCTATAAGGCTCTTAGTTTAACACCACACTCTGCAATATTCCAGCCAAAAGGCATTTAGTTTAATGCAGCACTCTGCAATATTCCAGCCAAAAGGCACTTAGTTTAATGCAGCACTCTACAATATTCCAGCTATAAGGCGCTTAGTTTAACACCACACTCTGCAATATTCCAGCCAAAAGGCATTTAGTTTAATGCAGCACTCTGCAATATTCCAGCCATCAGGCACTTAGTTTAATGCAGCACTCTACAATATTCCAGCTATAAGGCACTTAGTTTAATGCAGCACTCTACAATATTCCAGCTATAAGGCGCTTAGTTTAACACCACACTCTGCAATATTCCAGCCAAAAGGCATTTAGTTTAATGCAGCACTCTGCAATATTCCAGCCATAAGGCACTTAGTTTAATGCAGCACTCTACAATATTCCAGCCAAAAGGCACTTAGTTTAATGCAGCACTCTGCAATATTCCAGCCATCAGGCACTTAGTTTAATGCAGCACTCTACAATATTCCAGCTATAAGGCGCTTAGTTTAACACCACACTCAGCAATATTCCAGCCAAAAGGCATTTAGTTTAATGCAGCACTCTGCAATATTCCAGCCATCAGGCACTTAGTTTAATGCAGCACTCTACAATATTCCAGCTATAAGGCGCTTAGTTTAACACCACACTCTGCAATATTCCAGCCAAAGGCATTTAGTTTAATGCAGCACTCTGCAATATTCCAGCCATCAGGCACTTAGTTTAATGCAGCACTCTACAATATTC